GAAATAATGGTATGAGGAAAACATTATTATGACATTCAGGGCATGATTTTAACAAAATTAAAAAGGCAGTTACAAAAGGGGGATGTGATTCTGAATACAGAAGGGAGTTTCAAAGGTGAAACAAATCCAAGATTTATCAGTGGAGTGTATATTTAAATAATTAGGATAGCACAAAATATAAATAACCTAAGGATGGTTATCCTAGTGTTAGCAATGAAAAATCTGCTTTGGTTAAAAGAGTTGGACGGCAAATTCTGAAGACAAAAATCTTTCAGTCCATTCCCAGAACATGATTGAGATTTGCTAAAGTTTAGGAAAACGGAAATCTGCTTTAAGATCAGAGACATTATGCTTGAATTCCCAGATACTTGGGAGCTTCATATAAAATGCAGCCAACAGCATATTAAAGAATAGTACAGATTAACACTATATTGAGTTTCCAGATACATTTAGTTATTTGGGAAAATAAATTGAAATTAAGAAATACAACAATTTGAATCAATGCAATTAAAAATACAATTTTATTGACCAAGATAAAACTAGAGAAACATGATCCAGGTTTCCTCAGAATGGTAGGAACTTAGAAATACAAGTATTGCAATTCATCATAGATAAAACAATTTAATAAAGATTCTACTCAGTCACCAGTTTGCCCTCCCTGGCTTGATGAATTTTAATTTCCCTTTTCCTATCACCAGTCAAAGTTTAGTCAAGGGTACGAAGGGCCCTGGCAAAGCAACATCTATGTTATCATTTGATATATTTTGTCCCTTCTTATCTGTCATGATATACAAACGCAAGGGCTTGAATTACAGAGTCACTAGGCCTAGTGTGCTATCTAATGGGATCAGAGGGGAGACTGTAATAAGGTTTTGGAGCTGATCCATCAGCTGCTTCAGGTACTCCCTGAACAAATACTTAACTAGAAATTGTAGCCAGAACTTAGCACAGCTTCGACTGATGTGCCAACTGTAACTATATCTGAAGAACCCAGACCTATGACGTATGCTTGTTACATGCAGCCTAGATTACTCAATTACATGGACAGAGGATTAACCTATTATCATCTCTATACTAAAATTCAATTCAATATTCAATATATTATATGCTATACATTCAAATATATTCCATAATAGGCTATATTTTAGGGAAGGAACTGGCAAAACCACCCATGGGTATTTTTTGTCTTAAAATCATATAAAATTCATGGGTTTGATATAAATCTGGAGGGGACATGAAGGACCACACACATGTAATGGAAAGGGATAATAGATTATCAAAGCAAAGCCAACATCAGACTTTAGATTGTCCAGAACACTATTTAACACATTCCTCACTTTTATCTGGTTTTTGTGTTCTAACAGTTATGCTTATTATTATTTAAATGGTAACAATAACCCCTATTACAATAGTTGTTGTTGCTGATGTGTGCCTTCAAGTGGTTTCCAACTCATGTTGACCCACTATGGTGAACCTATCATGTGTTTTCTGCTGCTAAGAGAATTGGGTTCATCCAAAATCACCCAGTGGGTTCCCATGGCTAAACAAGGAACTGAACTCTGGTGTCCTTGCATAGTCCAACACTCAAACCACTACACCAGGGGTCCTCAAACTAAGGCCCAGGGGCCGGTTATGGCCCTCCAAGGTCATTTACCTGGCCCTCACTCAGGGTGAACCTAAGTCTGAAATTACTTGAAAGCAGACAACAACTACAACAATCCTATCTCAAAAGCAGGTCCACACTTCCCATTGAAATACTAATAAGTTTATATTTGTTAAAATTGTCCTTTATTTTAATTATTGTATTGTTTTTAAGCGTTTCTTGCACTACAAATAAGATATGTGCAGTATGCATAGGAATTTATTCATTTTTTTTTCCAAATTATAATCCGGCCCTCCAATAGTTTGAGGGACTGTGACCTGGTCCTCTGTTTAAAAAGTTTGAGGATCCCTGCACTATACCATGCTAGCTCTCATGACAAAAGACAAATCTGAAATATGATTAATCAGTACAGAAATTTGGCACCCGCCCAGCTTTATTGAGTTCACTTATCCTTTGGAATTTTGAAAAATATTTTGTTTCAAATCAACATTGAGGTATACATTTTCCATGATGGATTCTGTGAGGAATCCATAGTCTCTCGTACTATGGCTGCTGATGAGCTCGGAAAAAGACAAAGCAACTTCCCCTGGTAAAGGTCTGCAATCATCATCAGCTTAGCAAACAACTTCCTTCTCACTAGAGGGGAATTCCAGTATGCAGGACCTACCCTCAGAAGAGAAAGCAATGTCTTATTAGGTTTGAAGTCAGAAGAAGGAGCTTATGTTGTAAGCCACAGGGTAGTGATCTTCCATGGTTTTCAAATCTGACTCTCAACTTCATCTTATCGGCTTTCTTGCCTGTCATAGGAGGCTTCCAGCACAGTTTGGGGATGAAGCCTGCTGGATCCCATCAAACGACACACAGCTACTTCCAGTGGAGATGTGACCCCGAACTGTGCTGGAAATGTCCTACAATGGAGCAAGGAGAACACAGGAGGCTTCCCACGTTCCCGTTGTCAGTAACAGGGACAGTGTGTGGGAAAGCTGGGCAGCGACACTTCCCCCCGTGTGATGGGGGAAGACAGCATTGTGGGCACTGTGGGGCACAGAGCGATGGATTCCCCTGCTGCCCCGCGAATTTGCCACAATGCCTGGCGAATTCCCCAGCTGTCAGCCATGTTAGGGCACTTAATGTGATGAGCTCCTGTATGTCTCCCTCTTCTGGAGAGCAAGGATGTTCTATGGGGGATAGAGATGTTTTTGTTCAATTATAAGGATAGAAATGTGCTGCTGCATGTAAAGATAAAAGTGTGCCAACTGCCGTAGTTCAACCCAGCACAAATATATGAATAGGACAAAGGAGCACTAGTGTTTCACAACAAGATTTTGGGAAAAATGAACTCCATTAAATTAAAAAACAATTGGGACTAGCAAAAATGTAACTTCATTGCACTTCATCATGCAATTAAAACTTGTGTGCCAACTGCGACCTTACCTCATGAAGTCTGACTTGACCATGGTGGTCCATGCCTTAGTTACCTCTAAACTGGACTACTGTAATGCACTCTACGTGGGGCTACCCTTGAAGACGGCCCAGAAACTACAACTAGTCCAATGTTCAGCAGCCAGATTAATAACTGGGGCAACTTACAGGGACCTGTCAACCACCCTGTTTAATGAGCTCCACTGGCTGCCGTTTATTTTCCGGTCCCAATTCAAGGTGAAGGTTATCACCTATAAAGCCCTAAATGGTTTGGGACCTGCCTACCTTCGTGACTGTGTCTCCCTCCATGAACCAACTCGGGCCCTCCGTTCTTCTGGGGAGACCCTTCTTTCGCCCCTGCCAATTTCACAAGCTTGCCTAGTAAGTACAAGGGAGAGAGCTTTTTCCTCTATGGCCCCCGACTCTGGAACTCACTACCTGGAGAAATTAGGAAAGTCCCTACCTTAGAAACCTTTAAAAAGGACTTTAAAACCTGGTTCTTCTGCTGCACTTTTGATGAATAGGTTTACATTCTCACACTATTGCTTAGCCTCAATGTTTTGTCATTGGAGTATATGTCCACCCCCCCCTTTGTGGGAAAGCCTGATTCCACAATCCCCACTATGAGTCCCCCTCCACAAACAATCCGTCTCTCTTTTATCTCACCTGAGTTTTAATTAGTTTTAATCAGTCTCTCTTTTAATCATTACATGTAGCCCACCCATTGTCATTGTGATTGTGCTTACTGTAATTTTATATTGCTATGTTTTCATATGTTTTATGTAATTATGTTGTTTGTTGTTTATTGTTTGCATTTTCAGTTTTATTTTATTGTAATTTGCTGTTTGGACTTGGCTTCATGTAAGCCGCTCCGAGTCCCCATTGGGGAGATGGTGATGGGGTATAAATAAATATTATTATTATTATTATTATTATTATTATTATTATTACTCCTGTTCAATGCATCGGCCATGACTTCTCTCAGGTTTATTCTATATCCTTTATTTTCTTACTTTTTAAAACCAAAAACATGTTTTCCTATATATGCACAGTTCTCGTGATAGCAGCCCCCACTACCTGTCAGATCCCATTCCAACTAGTTAGCTCATGAGTATTCTGGAAAATACATGTATAGAGACAAAGAATGGGGAAATACTTTGGATAAAATAAATGACAATAAGAAGCACAGAAGTTAAAATGGAGAGAGCAAACATTTCACAGCATGCAATCCAACTCTGTTTATGCAGAAATAAGTCCCACTCTGGTCAATGGCGTCCCCCCCCCCAGGTAGTTACACATAGGATTAAAGTTTTAACATTCTTGGGTCTACATTCAATCTCACAATATATAAATAGCTCATAGTATCAGCAGGTAGTTCTGTCATCACTAGAGAGTCATGGTGGATTCTGAGAGAGTTACCACACCATTAATATAAAAGACTAGATGGTGTTTCACAGTCACCTTCTAAGTTATTTATTTCACTACTCCAGCCAACGTGAACTTGAGTACCCATGATTCATCTATGAAAAAGTATCACATGCTCATGTCTTGCTAGAAATGATTCAACAGGTGACTCTACCAAAGAAAATGTCTCCAGAGCCATCAAGAAACCAGAGAGATTGTATAATTTTAGCTATTGCTTCTCGGTATCATACCCGTATTATCCGGCGTATAAGATGACCCCCAACTTTTCCAGTTATAATATAGAGTTCCTTTCTGTAGCATACCATCTATGGCATATCTATATGTTCCCCAGCATCTACCTTATCAGCTGTTGATGCCAAGACTGCATACACACAGGATAATCTGATCAGCAGCAGCCCAGCTGAACGTAATAGCAACTGAGTCACAAAACATTATGCCAGAACAGTGCATGTGGTCATAAAGTCATAGAAATAAATACTAACCTAAGCACAATGCCCAAATTTTCTAAAAGTAATATGCTTACTACCAGTTTTTATAGCAGCACTCTTACTTGCTGGCTTTGTGAAAATGCATCATCCCATAGGTGCAATTTTTTCTCCAAGTCTTTTACTACAGCGGCTTTGTAATCTCTAATTGAATCCTCTGTTGCCAAATGGGAAGTCCTGTGATTTTTCTTCACTGTTCCCTGATTTCCTCTGAAAAACAAAACACGGCTTTAATTTATTTATTATCACAGCATTTTCTTAAAGTTGATGAGGATGGTGATGACTACTGTTATTTTTATTTATTTATTTTTGTCGTGTCAGGAGCGACTTGAGAAACTACAAGTCGCTTCTGGTGTGAGAGAATTGGCCGTCTGCAAGGACGTTGCCCAGGGGACGACCAGATGATTTGATGTTTTTATCATCCTTGTAGGAGGTTTCTCTCATGTCCCCGCATGAGGAGCTGGAGTTGATAGAGGGAGCTCATCTGCCTCTCCCCAGATTTGAACCTGCGACCTGTCGGTCTTCAGTCCTGCTGGCACAGGGGTTTAACCCACTGCGCCACCGGGGGCTCCTTATAACTACTGTTATAAGAATATTTTTATTATAATCACAATTGGCATTGTCTTACTCAGCTAAAAAAGTGCAGAAAAAAATTAGAAACTTGTTTAAAATAGTTGGACAAAACATAAATTCTTAATTGTATAGTCATATATGGAGCCCCCAGTGGCGCAGTGGGTTAAACCGCTGAGCTGCTAAACTTGTCGACCGAAAGGTCACAGGTGCGAATCCAGGGAGCGGAGTGAGCTTCCACTGTCAGCCCCAGCTTCTGCCAAACTAGCAGTTTGAAAACATGCAAATGTGAGTAGTTCAATAGGTACCGCTCCGGCGGGAAGGTAACGGCGCTCCATGTAGTCATGCTGGCCTCATGACCTTGGAGGTGTCTATGGACAATGCTGGCTCTTTGGCTTAGAAATTGAGATGAGCACTAGCCCCCAGAATGTCACATACCATTCACCATCATGGGACTACTATGGCTTTTCCAGTAGCAAATCGCCACTGGCCAAGCAAAAAAGAAAATAGAAAAAAGAAAAAAAAAGCAAGCAAGCAAGCATGAAAGCCCAACTCTTTACCTCTGGGTCTGACTGGGCAAAAAAGAATCAAGCCTGTAAAGAGAAAGGCTTAAATCCAATTATAAATTAGAGGTAGAATAGATTTACTGAATCAAAATAATTTATGTAAGTATTTACCATTTATGTTAGTCTTTGGAAACTGCCCTGAGTCCCTTCAGGGAGAGATGGCAGTTATATATAAAGTGTTGTTGTAGTAGTTATTATTATATTTGTGTGCTGAGTTTCCGTTAATGCACTGGCTCTATTCTAGTGGGGACTAGCAATTCTGTGTTGGCCCAATCCCCCACCTAATGTGAAAGACTTGGGAAAATATTGTAGACCAGTGGTTCTCAAACTCTAGATGTCCTCTAGATATTTAGGACTTCCGTTTTTAGAATTTCTAACCATTGACAATGCTGACTCTGTCATCTGGGAGAAGAAGTTCAATACTTTGTCATCTGTCATCTGGGAGAAGAAGTTCAATTCAAAGTGCTGGCTTTAGCCTTTAAAGCCCTAAACGGTTCTGGCCCGACCTATCTGTCCGAACGCATCACCCCCTATGAACCAGTTAGGACATTAAGATCGTCCGGGGAGGCCCTGCTCTCGATCCCGCCAGCCTCACAAGCACGGCTGGCGGGGACGAGAGACAGGGCCTTCTCAGTGGTGGCCCCTCGGCTGTGGAACGCCCTTCCCGCAGACATTAGATCGCCCCCTCCCTGCTGGCGTTCAGGAGAAGAGTGAAGACCTGGCTCTTTGAACAGGCATTTAATTAAGCAGTGCAATTAATTGATTGATCTTGGAACTTGGAATAATGGATGAGGAGATCGGATTATGACTTTACTGATGAGACGTGATGGATTAGTTATATGGATGTATTGATGTTATATTGATGTACTGATGTATTGTTATATTGATGTAGTTGCCTTGGTTACTGTTTTAAATGCTAATGTTGTGCACTTTGTATACTGACTTGGTTGTAAACCGCTCTGAGTCGCCTACGGGCTGAGAGAGAGCGGTATACAAATAAAGTAAGTAAGTAAGTAAATAAATAAATACTTTTAAAAGGCCAAACAAGAACACAGATCATTGCATGAAAAGCAGTTCTCTTATGATTTCCATCTTTAAATTCTTAATATTTATCCATGTGATTGTAGTCAAAATATTCCAGAGAAGTTACAGTAAAAGACAATTTTTAAAATAAGATAAAATGTAAACAAAACAATATATCTATAGATTTCAGAGAATAAAAAAGGCCAGGGATGTCCACCTCGATTACCCAGGAATGTGCCCAGAGTAACAAAGTTTAATTTCCGTTGAAAGAGCTGAAGGGAAATCACGTTTTCAGAGTAATCACCCAGCATTCTTACATAATCAAAATGGTGTGCTTGGTTAAGAGATTCTCCAGTTTCACATAACACCATTGAAGAGGACTAGAGATTAGGTTCTGAGATATGGTACCAGAATTCTGATTAAATAACCTTTAAAATAATGTTGTTTTACATGATATTGCAAAGAGGCGTCTGGAAAGCTTTGAGAAAGCCTTTCACAACCACCCCTTCACAATCCATATTCCATACATGGTTTCTGTGAACAAACCTTCCTGTGTGGGATCACTTGTGCAAGATATTTTGCTGCCCAAATAAAAATGATGCCTCTGACCTCATGCATATTAAGTCATATAATAGCACCCAAACCCAGTGTGATTTATTTATTTATTTATCGTATCAGGAGCCAACCAAGAGTAGAGTTGTAATGTATTTTAAAAAAAAGAAAAACAGAAATGAACAGAAGCGACCCAGTGTGATCTAGCAATTTGAACGAGATTACAACTTGGGAGCCTTGAGTTTCAATGCACATTCAGTCATGGAAACCACTTAGGCAAATTGCAATCTCTCTGCCTGATGGGAAGGCAAAAGCAAAGCCCTCTGAACAAATCTTGCCAAGTAAACCCTGTGACAAATTCAAGTTGGAAACAGTTTTGAAGGCAAACAACAACCAGGGATCTTATCACTTTGGATATTGAATTTGCCACACATCATGGTGAATTTGTGAAATCCCGGCGGGATGTGTGTGTGTGTGTGTGTGTGTGTGTGTGGAGAACCTGTTGCCCCACACCACGCATTGCTCGACTCATCTCTGGCCCCATCCACAGGGGGAAGTGTCTGCCGTCCGACTTCCCCGCACTGTTTCAAAGTCAACATGGGAAGCTGCATCATTGTCATACACTGTTTGTCCTCCCCTTTCACCATGGAGCCCAGTCAGAAGTAGATGTGCATTGTGTAATGGGCTCCATGGCAAAAGGAGAAAACAAATGGTGTACGACGGGCAAATTGCCCCGTGTAATAAGGTTGTAAGTCAACTTATTTTGGCAAACGTAATATTTTAAAAAATTGTCAATTCTCCCCTACTTGGCAGTACAACTATAAAAATAATATATTACATAAGTAATAATATGTTGCCTTTTTATGAAACCCTTCATCATGTGTCTGGGACAGAAGTCTTATCCTACCTAACAGTAGGGCTGGCCCTATTGGATACCTTCACGACGGCTAATTCATTCTGATCTAAGCATGCAGCTTTTGAGTCACTTACACAGCTGGTGCACTTTTAGGTAGACCCATGGCATTCGTCGGGGGAGTGGAAGGAAGTGAAGGAAGGACAGAACTAAGGAAGGCCACTGGGTTTTGAATCCGACCAGTTGGAGAGAGAGGTGTAGAAGGCACATTTTGGGGCTGGAACTGATTCATGCTGGATACAGAAAGCAATAGTGGTGGCAACACAGTTTCTTTGGGACTTGTAAGAAGTTGCTCCGTTTGGTTCATCATCCCTCCGGAGGACTTTGTCTGGGATGGTGGAGGAGATCCTAAGAAGCTTTCCTTGTTGGCTGTCCTCTGGGTTCCTTGAGATACATTAGTGAAAGAAGGCATTGGGGAGCTGGAAGGGGAGCTGACTGCTGCAAGAGTGCTCTGAGATGACAGGAACTGCTTAGGCCGGGTGTAATTGAATGCCTGTGTTGGAGGGGCCTTATTCTGCTTGTATGATGCAGATGAGGGTGGTGGCGGTGGTTGCTGCTGTTGGTTAGGCAAAGGAGAAAAGTTCGGTGTGGCAAAATTGAATGATGTCTCTCGTGGAGGTGGGGGAGATGGCTGCTGAATGTGTTGTTGCTCCAGCATGACCTGGTTGTGCAGCTGTTTTAGCTGGGTAGGATCCCTGTACACACAAAAATAAATAAATAAGGGATGCAATCCATATTATGAGCTGGAGGGGATCATCTAAGAGATTAGAGGCACTACTTCCGAAACAAATCAAGATTATAACTGGGTGGTTGTAGGTTTTTTCGGGCTATATGGCCATGTTCCAGAGGCATTCTCTCCATACATTTTGCCTCCATCTATGGCAAGCATCCTCAGAGGTTGTGAGGACCTCACAACCTCTGAGGATGCTTGCCATAGATGCAGGTGAAACGTCAGAGAGAATACCTCTAGAACATGGCCGTATAGCCCGAAAAAAACCTACAACCACCCAGTGATTCCAGCCATGAAAGCCTTCGACAATACAAGATTATAACTTTCCAAAGAACACTAGGAGCAGGTCACTTCTAGAGATCAGTGGGCTCCCACTGGAGGCTGCCACACTGTTGACATTTGCTAAAGATTCCCAAAGTTGGTGCTGCCACTGCTAGCTGAGAAGCTCAATACATTATGTTGGACAATTAATTCACAAGTAACTCTTCTGCTGCTCTTAGCTCATAAAAACCCTTACAAGTGCAAAGGGAAATGGGATTTTATGAAATAAAAGACAAGTCTGGCAAAATATTCTTAGCTGCTTATAGTGGACAAGATGGCACCTTCCTCTATTGCAGTGGTTCTTAACCTTCCTAATGCCACGACCCCTTAATACAGTTCCTCATGTTGTTGTGACCTCCAACCAGAAAATTATTTTTGTTGTTACTTCATAACTGTAATTTTGTTACTGTTATGAATTGTAATGTAAATATCTGATATGTAGGATGTATTTTCCTTCACTAGACCAAACTTGGCATAAATACCCGATACGCCCAAATTTGAATACTGGTGGTGTGGGGGGTTGTTTTTTGTCATTTGGGAGTTGTAGTTGCTTGGATTTATAGTTCAGCATTATCAAAGAGCATTTTGAACATCAATGATGGAATTGAGTCAATCTTGGCCCGCAGAACTCCCATGACCAACAGAAAATACTGGAAGGGTTTGGTGGGCATTGACCTTGAGTTTGGGAGCTGTAGTTCACCTACATCCAGAGTGAACTGTGGACTCAACCAATTATGGGTCTGGACTAAACTTGGCATGAATACTCAATATGTCCAAATGTGAAAACTGGTGGAGTTTGGGAGTTGTAGACCTTTACATTTGGGAGTTGTAGTTGCTGGGATTTATAGTTCACTTACAATCAAAGAGCATTCCAAACCCCACCAAGAATAGAATTGGACCAAACTTCCCACACATGGTCAACTTCCCCCATGGTCAACAGAAAATCCTATGTTTTCTGATGGTCTTTGGTGACTCCTCTGGCACCTCCTCACAACCCCCCATGGGTCCCAACCCCCAGGTTGAGAAACACTGCCATGTACAACATCTGATGAGACTATCAGTTGAATCTGGTTTCAACACTACAAATTGGCAGCGTCCTTCCTCACATGAGTCCAGCTTCTTCACTCACCATACAGCATCTGCTGCCTTCTGCTTAAGTATAAGGCTAGTTTTACAGAAATAAATACTTTTGCCTTCATTTCTATAGAGAAAAAAATGTAATGCTATTAGGAAAGAGAGAGCCTTAATAATGACCCATGGCTCTTCCTATACTCAGACCAGATTTCTATTTTTCAAGATGGTACAACCATATATTAAACTCTTATAAAAATGCAATGTTTTCACCACTGAGTAAAAGAGGAATACAATTACTTAGTCATTTATGAGTTCTTAGTTTTCAAACAGAGGAAAATATTGCATTTTGTATTTTTTAATTAAACATTAGAGAGTCAATCTAAAGTAGTGGTTTGAATGTTGGACAGAAAGACCAGATTTCAATCCCAATTTAGGCATAGAAAACTTCTGGGTGATCTTGGGCAAGTCACAGTGTGTTGGACTAAAATGGTGGCAATGGCAGAGTGTGGCTGGTAAGTAGAATCAAGAAAACACATATTCAGAGGCAAATAAACATTCATATCTAATACTCTTTCTGATATGCTAAAGTTTTACGAATATCTTCTTACTCACAGCTTTGGTTTAGCCAGCACAGGAGGTGGCTCCTTTGAAGGGGAGGTTGGCTCCTGAATTTTAAATATTTGTCCATTCAACTTGTCTGGGAAGCTATTTGGTCTGATTTGATTTCCAGGTCCTCCACCATCTTCTGATGATGCTTCACTTCCTTTATCATCTTCTGGCAATTTAAAGTGCACATGAAGACCAGCCTTTGAACTTGACCGGGGCTCGTTGTGATTGATAAGAACTCCTTCCAGTTTTGGTTTGGGTGGGTGTTCCACCAATGGGAGAGAAGGGAGAGGCACTGAAGGTGTGTGCTCAGCAGCAAACAAACTTATGGAACTTACACTATGAAGAACAGCATTATTGATCTGGTCCTCAGGTCCTGGAATAGTAAGCATTGTATTGTTTTATTACAGAAAACAGTGGCAACTCCAGAAAGAAAATATTTGAGGAGGGAGAGAAGGGACAACATAAATTTTGGGTTGTCAAATCTCTAACATGTTTGATAATTGAAAGAAAGAAGAAACATTGGGAAACAGAGGACAAACTGCCATTGTTTCTCCTCAGTCACTTCCCCTTTGGTGTAACTTGTCATCCAAATAAATGAAAATGATCTACAAAGTCATTGATTGATCCGGAAATCTGAAGTGTGAAGTCTTGTTTATGGGTGTGCCTGATATGAATATGTGTGTGTTTTGTTTAAGTGAATTGTAGTTTTCAAAGTTAGTGTTTGTGTGCTTAGAAATGTGATGCTTTGTAATGCAATGTGCCGGAGTTGTGGAAAGAGTTAACTGTATCATGAAGGAGGAGTGGCATTCCTAGAGAGTCATAAATCTTAGTGTGGAGAGCTATGTACTCTGCGTCGTACATCATACGTCATCACGTCACTGTGGAATGTAAGGAGGTGCTAAAGTTTAGATAACAATGTGTAGATGAATCATGTAGCCGAGGAGATGGAAGCAAGCTTTTGTTCTGCTTAGCTTTGAGTGTAAATATTTTTTGTCTTTAATAAATTAGCTTTTAGACAAGAAGATGTGTTTCAGTGCTTTGCTGTACTGAGATCTTTACTATGACAATTACAAGGTACTACAAGATTCCTTTCCAAACTGATCCAGTTTAATACAGCTATATTTTTTATTTCTAATGTCATTAAAAGCCTTTTAAAAAAAATCATACTGAAATTAATGCATTTAAAATGTACAAATGTCCAGTTTAATTGCTTAATCTAAAATGTTTTACATGTTAGCTGAAACTCAGCTTGTACATTGATATGTCCCAAATTATTTTACAGAGTGAATGAAATGACGACTTGCCTTTTACAGTTAGATGAGCTGAACTGGAAACTGTTCCATACTTATTACTTGCTGTACAAGTGAAACTCCCAGAATCTTCAGAAAATACCTCAGCAATGACCAATGTGCAAATTTCCTCTAAAAACAACAACAAATTAGTGCACATTTTCCCTCAAATCAAGTGTGACATATCCATTAATAACGCCCCCCCCCCCCCCCCCCCCCCCAAAGGCACTAGATCTCATTTGATCTTGGAAGCGCAAGGTCGGCTCTGAATAGCACTTTGATGGGAGATGACCAATAAAATGAGGTGTTGTACAATATATTTTAGAGGGATGAACTGGGAAAAACCCCTCTGAAGATTCCTCGTCTAAGAAGGATTGTGACTTTCAAGCAAGATGGTCAATAGGTTACTGATCCGACTCTTATGATTCTATGATTCTATTATCTATCTGTTTTTCTTTCTTAAAAAAAATAATTGGGAATGGGGGACGCCTGGCTCGAGAGCAGTATATGTGAAAAAGATCTTGGAGTCCTTGTGGACAACAAGTTAAAAAAGAGCCAACAATGTGATGTGGTGGCAAAAAAAAGCCAATAGGATTTTGGCCTGCATCAATAGGAGTATAGTGTTTAGATCCAGGGAAGTCATGCAACCCTCTATTCTGCCTTGGTTATACCACATCTGGAATATTGTGTCCAATTCTGGGCACCACAACTGAAGGGAGATGTTGACAAGCTGGAATGTGTACAGAGGAGGGCAACTAAAATAATCAAGGGTCTGGAGAACAAGCCCTATGAGGAGTGGCTTAAAGAGCTGGGCATGTTTAGCCTGAAGAAGAGAAGGCTGAGAGGAGACATGATAGCCATGTATAAATATGTGAGAGGAAGTCATAGGGAGGAGAGAGCAAACTTGTTTTCTGCTTCCCTGGAGACTAGGACGCGGAACAATGGCTTCAAACTACAAGAAAGGAGATTCCATCTGAACATTAGGAAGAACTTTCTGACTGTGAGAGCTGTTCAGCAGTGGAACTCTCTGCCTCGGAGTGTGGTGGAGGCTCCTTCTTTGGAGGCTTTTAAACCGAGGCTGGATGGCCATCTGTTGGGGGTGCTTTGAATGCAATTTTCCTGCTTCTTGGCAAGGGGATTGGACTGGATGGCCCATGAGGTCTCTTCCAACTCTATGATTCTATGATTCTAGACAGCTAAAGGCTCTGCTATCATGTGCTAATCAAATCTCAGATTCCCCTGAGGTAAGGAGAAAACCTTGTTTCCACTTCCTTTCCATTCCAGGGAAAATGAAATGCTTTCCCTTATGTTGGGGTATGCAATTGACAAAAATACAACTTCTGATTCAAAATATTTTGTAATGTATACCAGACTTTGAAGTGTTCACTTAAGAATCAGAGATGCACAAACTATACTGTTTTGTCTGCTTCGTTGTTGTTGACAGTAGCAATATCTAAATACACAAAAGTGTGATCTAATGCATGATTAAAACTTTTTAAAGTCTCACAGATTTATTCATAGAATTATAGAATCATAGAGTTGGAAGAGACCTCATGGGCCATCCAGTCCAACCCCCTGACAAAGCAGGAAAATTGTATTCAAAGCACCGAAATTCTTCTCTCCGGCCACCAAACCCCAGTGCTTGGAAAGGGACATGTCCATTTTGAGGTGAGCACTTTTGATATTCTTTGACAGGTGGCATAACATCTGTCACTTCTGAAGGAATAGCTTGTTCATACTGCTTTTAGAGCCTTCCCTCACCTCCCTGTCAATTGAGGGAAATGGCTCATGAGAATATGGCATTATAGGGTAGTGGGGGTCTCTTTGTGCCTTTCCATTCAGCTCTGACTCTGGTCACGAAGGCCCCAAAAATCTAGCCAGCATCAGAATTCACCTCTCAGAGGAAGAACCCTCAGCATGGCATTCTCCAGTTTCAGAGGCAAAATGCCTGTAGGGATGCTCTCATATTTCACGAGTAAGGCGGGAGTTGGAGGAGTTAAGAGAGAATAACTGGCATGGACTGAGGTGTGACACAATGCTTACCAACTGGCAAGTTTTAGATAAAAATAGGACAACCCGACATCATCTGGAATACATTTGGCCTCAAAGAATATGAGGTCTTAATACCGACTACTTAATTCACTTCTGACCTGGGAAAAGAACCCTCAGATCTAAAATATAGGGGATCTCAGAAGCGTTTCTCCTTCTTCCTTTGGGGAAAGTGATGGTGTTTTTGCTTCTTCCAGCACACTGACGTTTGTTCGCTTGTCTTCCCAAGAGATCTGCAGGATTTTTCGGCAGCAATGCTGATGGGATCGTTTTTAGGATAAAAACGCTGAGATTAAATAGCATTGCCTCAGAAAAATCCTGCAAATCTCTTGGGAAGACAAGTGGACAAACGTCAGTGTGCTGGAAGAAGCAAAGACCATCAGCACTGAAGCGATGGTCCTCCAGCATCAACTCCACTGGACCTGCCATGTTGTCTGGATGCCCGACCACCATCTCCAAAGCAGTTGCTTTACTCCGAACTCAAGAACAGAAAACGGAATGTTGGTGGGCAGGAAAAGAAATTTAAAGATGGGCTCAAAGCCAACCTTGAAAACTCTGGCATAGACACTGAGAACTGGGAAGTCCTGGCCCTTGAGCCCTCCAGCTGGAGGTCAGCTGTAACCAGCAGTGCTGTAGAATTTGAAGAGGCACGAATGGAGGGTGAAAGAGAGAAACGTGCCAAGAGGCAGGCGCATCAAGCCAACCCCGACCGGGACCGCCTTCCACCTGGAAACCTCGCTGTGGGAGAAGATGCAGATCAAGAATAGGGCTCCACTGTCACCTACGGACCCACCGCCAGTACACCGATCTTGGAAGACAACCCTACTCGGACAACGAGGGATCGCCTAAGAGGTGTTGCTTGATTTTCAACATTTTAGGGTGCAATCTTGTACCTGCTTACTCTATACTCCTGGATTAAGTGGTGCCTTTTATTTATTATTATTTATTTACAATCTTTATTTTCCACTTTTCTCACCCCTTTTGTGAGTAAATATTTGTTCAGCTGCATTACAAATTGCTAACTATGGCATCTTCTGTACATTTTCTTCAAGTGAATCAGGACTCACATTACTCTATATCATTCATTTGTGGAACATTTTGTGAGTGATATAACTGACTATTCACATGCATTAAAATAAAGGAATATGCCTACCTGGCTCAGACATAGAACGAGGTTCTAAAGAAGAGAAAAAGAAACATCACCCAATTCAATATTTATTTCAATACACTTTTGTCTTATAAGAAAATTATATATTAACTAGTTGCCTGTATATTGGAGGTGGGGAATCATTTGGTCCTCCAGTGTTTTTGATTCTAATTCCCAGAAATATATGATTCACTGAATTTTGCTTACAATTATTTTATTTAATGTTTTAAAATGTACTACGTGTACATTTTCCTTTTCCTTCAAAACCTCTAATTTATCATTCCTTGGTTCTGGATCTTCCAGTCCTATTCTGCCCAACCTCTGGTTGAAAACATTTATGCTATTTCAGTCCGAGGCTTCAGGAGCCGCGGTGGCACAATGGGTTAAACCCTTGTGCTGACTGAACTGCTGATCTGAAGGTCGCTCATTTGAATTTGTGAGATGGGATGAGTTCTCGTCTGTCAACTCCAGCTTCCCATGCGGGGACATGATAGAAGCCTCCCGCAGGATGGTAAAAAACATCCGGGTGTCCCCTGGGCAACCTCCTTGCAGATGGCCAATTCTCTCACACCAGAAGCAACTTGCAATTCCTCAAGTCACTTCTGACATGAAAAAAAAGTCTATGGCTTATCAGAGATCATGTGAATCTGTTCTACATTTTAAACTGAATTTTAAGGGAGCTATCTGGGGAGGAGTTATCTGAGGGCCTGAACTTAAGCATCTCGGATAATAATAATAATAATAATAATAAAACTTTATTTATACCCCGCTCCATCTCCCCCAGGGGGACTCGGTGCAGTTTACATGAAGCTACGCCCATCAATATAGTACAAACAAAAGCATAACAATACCTGAAAATAAAATACATAAAATGCAAAAAAATCAATATAATAAACAAAACAACAACAGTATAAAAACAAACAATTAAAAACAAAAGATTTAACTAGGCAGGGCCACATTTAAGGATAAGATTTTAAAACACTGGGAGGTAGGACAATGTAAAATTATCAGGACGAGGATCTGAATAAGGGAGGATTTAATTGCACGAACCATAGATAAAGTGCTTCTAAGGACATTTTGTGCTGTTTGGTCAGGGAGTATCTAACATTCAATCACTGAAGGCACATTGGAATAGCCAGGTTTTCATATTCCTCCTGAAGATCGCCAGCGTGGGGTCTTGCCTAATATTTCTGGAGAGTGAGTTCCAGAGCCGGGGGGCCACCACAGAGAAGGCCCTCTCTCTCGTCCCCGCAAGTCGCACTTGAGATGTGCAGGTGGGAGCGAAAGAAGAGCCTCTCCGGACGATAGAAGAGATCATGTGGGTTCGTAGATGGTGGGCCCCAAACCGTGCAGGGATAGTGCCCATAAACTTTAGACTATCGCATAGAACAGGTTTACTGCTCCACAGATATGAAAGCCATGTGTCCATTCTGAACTTGCCATAACTTCCTGATGCATTGACCGAAATAAAAGTTCATAACATTCGTCAAACATACTTTTTTGTAATATTCGGAAGTCAGGAGAATCTTCTATTAACGTGCCTTCTCGGTACCACTCAACCTTCGGAGAAGGTGCTCCCTTTACGCGGCATTCAAACACAACCAGCTGACCCTCAGAGGCAGATATGTTCTGTAGCATCTAACACAGAAACAGACCATACAGTCATATTAATATTTTTGGAATTAAAGCTGAGAACAATTGAGTTCAAAGTGTTGTTAATTTTTAAAATGTGCGAAGTACTCTATGTATTTTATTTATTTATTTATTTATTTATTTATTTACCATATTTATATACCGCCTTTCTCAGCCCAAAGGCGACTCAAGGTGGTTTACAGTCAACACAATTAGATGCCCCCAACAACATAAAAAAACAATTTTAAAACATTTAGCAAATAATATAAAAACCAATAAAAAACATAAATCCTCAGCGTCTCCTTACTAAAATCATTTTTCAATTCATGTTGTCCAGTTGTTCCATAGATCTATATTTGCCTGTTACACTGCATTTGCAAATGCTTGCTCAAAAAGCCAGGTTTAAATTTTTTTAATGAAATGATAGGAGGGAGGGGACCTATCTAATATCCCTAGGGAGGGCGTTCCATAGCCGAGGGGCCACCACAGAGAAGGCCCTGTCTCTCGTCCCTGCCAGACGCATCTGTGAAGAAGGCGGGACTGAGAGCAGGGCCTCCCCAGACGATCTTAGAATCCTAGATGGTTCATAAGGAGAGATACGTTTGGATAGGTAAGCTGGGCCGGAACCGTAGGGCTTTACAGAGTAAAGCCAGTACTTTGAATTGTGCCTGGTAGCAGACTGGCAGCCAGTGGAAATTGTTTATACAGGAAACAATATGTGAGAACTTAGAACAGTGTATATGCGACACATTAAAAGACAAACATGACTTACACTTTTAAATTAGATGCGCATTTTTCTACCAGTAGACCAACAAAAATAGCCATTTAACCAAAGAAATAGAATATTAAAATATAAAGTTTAAAACCATTGCGCAAAATTTATATTCAGCATTCCAATAGCACTCAAGATTGATCCTACATGTATTTCCTTGAAGAGAAGAGCATTCTTCATAAATCAATAATTCATTTTTCTGACCAATACTACTTGGACAAGGATCTCTTCTGATTTTTTTAAAAAATGCTTTATTGGATGAGGTTTAAAGCATGTGCACATTTTTGTACTGGTTAGGCCTCCCTTATCTGGATATCCAAAGTCTAAAATATCTCCCAACCTGAAATTTTTTCCACCAGCCACCCACTTCTGCATTTAGAGAAAGGGGGCTAGTCACATGTCTGGCAGCCACAGAGTTTTTCCTCAAGGAGCCCTGACAGATGAAAGACAGAGGGTAGGGAGGAAGACTTCACTTACAGAAGATGCTTCCACGCTCACTGTGCACCTGATTAACAGGGTTGCATAAAGGACTGGCCTCCCCCCCCAAAATGGCTATGAAGGTGTGTGTCAAATAACCTCATTAGCTACTGCCTGTATACAACCAAAAGAGAATAAAAAGATTCATGGGAATGAGGGTGGGGGGAATTTTCCTTTCCCTGACTACTTTGCTAAAAGGACGAAAAGTATGCTGACAAGTGGGGAAGCACCTGGATCTATTTTTTTAATGGGGACTTGTGTACACGGAGTCCTCCCCCTTTCCCCATCCTTCATTCTCTCTCTCTCTGTGCGTGTACACACACACAAACACACACATAGAGAAATAGTGGTATTCCAAAATATGGGGGGAATAAAAAACCTGAAAAACATCTGACACCAAGCATTTTGGACAAGAGAATATCAATGTATATTAAAGCCAAGAGATGCCTTTGAATGACACTATTCTGGATCCTCTATTCGCTACTCAAGGCATTGCAAAGAAGCATGCTCAAACATATACTAATTTGTTCTGAACAAGTAACCTTAAAACTACAAGTTTAAAAATATAATCCCTGATAACTTTAAGAGAGACACTTTATCAAAAATAAAGTATAGCTAGTATCCCATTGTTTCTCATATTTAAAGGATAATATAAATAAATTACCTTGGTGAACACAGGAGCAGCTATTATGGGTCTTCCATCCAATCCTTGTAAATAATTAGTGGGGCTTTGACACTGGAAGTTAGAAAACAAACACTGAAATACAGATATGTGATTGGTATCAGGCAAGAGCAACAAAATTAAAACTCTGGTATTTTCACAGCTGAAGGCAAGCACTGAGGATGACATTCAAACAAAGTCCAGAAAATACAGGCCAGCAGTATATTTATCTCTCTTACATGGACAGGTATTGACACAGGATGTATCATTGACGGTTGTGGTTTGGGTGGTTCTTGTTGGGTGACTACGGTATCAGCAGGAGGTGGTGGCACATCTGAAGAGACCTTTGTGTGGGTTTGATATCTGGGATTAGATAAGAGAAAGTACATTTACAAAGGAAACAATAATGCCTGCAGATGAGTTATCCAAAATCAAAATTCTAAAATCCATACTACTGTAGAACAACATCTTCGCAAGGCTAACCAAACAACTATCCATGCTTTTATGTTTATTTATTTATTTATTTATTTATTTATTTCACTTACTTATACCCCGCCCTTCTTACCCCCGGGGGGGACTCAGGGCGGCTTAGAGGAGGCACAATTAGATGCCCAAATCAATTGACAAGCAATACAGATACAAAACAAAACAATTCAACAGTTAAATTAAAACATAATACATAATAAAATAATAAAACAATCTCATGCTCAGGGTTCAGAGTCCATATATCCATTCCATTCCATTTGTCCTTGTCTATCGTTAGATCCTTAAGTTAGTTGTCAGAATGACCAAAGGCTTGGTCCCAAACCCAGGTCTTCAGTTTTTTCCTAAATGCCAGAAGGGAAGTCGCCGATCTAATCTCCCCGGGGAGTGAGTTCCACAGGTGGGGGGCCACCACTGAGAAGGCCCTGCTCCTCGTCCCCAACCTCACTTGTGACAGTGGCGGGGTCGAGAGCAGGGCCTCCCCAGAAGATCTTAAACTTCGAGATGGGATGTAGAGGGAGATCCGTTCGGACAAATACACTGGGCCGGAACCGTATAGGGTTTTGTAGGTCAAAACCAGCACTTTGAATTGTGCTCGGAATTGGATCGGCAGCCAGTGGAGCTGACGCAACAGGGGGGTGGTGTGCTCCCTGTACGCCGCTCCGGTGAGCAATCTGGCTGCTTCTCGCTGGACTAGTTGAAGTTTCCGAGCAGTCTTCAAAGGCAACCCCACGTAGAGTGCGTTGCAGTAATCCAACCGGGATGTGACAAGAGCGTGGACCACCGTGGCCAGATCTGACTTTCCAAGGTACGGGCACAACTGGCGCACAGTTCTCCAGAACTCTTCACTAAGTAAGATGGTTAACAAAGTGAAATCATGGAGCCTGTATGTGATGGCACGCTGGGGTAAAAGGAAAACTATATATCTGGCTATTCCCGGTGGCTATCAGTATAACCTCTGATGAACTTCAATTCTTTAAAAATAAAGACTCTTGAGACAGGATTAAAGTTAACAAAATAAGTTTGCTGGAAACAAAAGGCAAACTTAACTTCAGTCAGGGTTCTTGAAAGGCGAATCAAAATAAAGTATTACAAAGACAAAGCTTGTTGATTGAACTTGGTAATAAACACTTGACTATACACTGGTAATAAACACTTGACTATATTCATAAAATATGAGGTAAAGTACTTGACTATAATTGTGGTAAGTCACTTGGTAAAATACTTGGCTATTGAAAGTAAAATACTGGAATTTATTATCAGTAAATACTTGGCTATATTGGCAACAGTAAGGTACTTGGCTATTGATATAATACAGAACTAAAATGGTAAAGTACAGATCTATAATAACTAAATGGTTTTTTTTTTGTTGTGACAGGAACAACCTGAGAAACTGCAAGTCGCTTCTGGTTTGAAAGAATTGGCCTTCTGCAAGGACGTTGCCCAGGGGACGTCCAAATGTTTGATGTTTTATCATCCTTGTGGGAGGCTTCTCTCATGTCCCCGCATGAGGAGCTGGAGCCGATAGAGGGAGCTCATCCACGCTCTCCCCGGATTCGAACCTGCAACCTGTTGGTCTTCAGTCCTGCTGGCACAGTGGTTTAACTCACTGCGCCACCGGGGGCTCCTAACTAAATGGTAAAGTTACAAGCTATATTGGCTATGTGGTACATATATGCTATAGAATGCCTGTTTGGATTACCAGGCCAAGGAACCCAGACAATTTCTGGCCTTCTCCTCTAAAACTCTTGACACAGAAAAATAAGGAGGGAAAAAGCCTTTCAGACAAGTTCTGAGGCAAAACGGCTAAACCAACTGAGCCAGGCCTCTAGGGGGGTTTTAAACTCCACCCCTAAAACTAAGCATAAATGGAAAAGTCCACAGCAAAGGGAGAACAAAACAAGGAAGAGAAATAGAGGAGTGGAAAAAAGCTAGGCTAAGACATCACACTGCAAGATATTAATATTGCTGCTAAGATGAATAGAGCAGCCGTATTGGGGTATAAACTGAAACAGGGCCACAATGCTAGAGTTATTAATCCCATTCATTCTTTAGCTGAAACCAGGCCATTCAAGCTGCTTTTTTCCTATTAGGGAATCCACATAGCTACATATACATTTCCTGCCAGGAACAAATGACAAAGAACTGCTACAGGTGGGGTTATTTTAATTTAGAAAATCAGACCCCATGCTGCAGCCCTCCTGAATGAATTCATCCTTTCCATTGCTGCTGTTTTCAAAATCAATTTTAAAAAAGAAATGCAAAAGGATAAGACATTTGTTCATGCAGGTTTCGTGTCTTATACAGGCACCCAGCTATCTATACAACACTCACTGAGCCATTTCTTCTTTGCTGCTGTCAGGTTCAGATTCAGAAGATGAGGCTCCTGTGGAAAATCAAAGCTCATTTCATTTTTGGTGCCATATTTATCAAATGTAACTCAGAGCAATGCAGACCCTTATGTTGTCACATTTTTCTGGATCACAATTTCTTTGCAGAATAAATGTCTAGTTAAAACTACAGTAATTTGTTGTAGGAGTAGATCCTGAAATCTTTCCTAGAGGCAGGGCATTTTTTTTATCATAATATGATTTTGAATAAACATTAGGAAAAACTTCATGATCACAAGATCAATTTGACAATGGGATCTATTACCATGTATCTTTTTTTTGAAGGTTTTTAAACAGAAATTAGATGGGAACACTTTAGCAGTGGATTCATCTACTAGCAGGGGGTGGACTAGATTATCCTTGAGCTCCTTTCCAACTGTATTATTCTGTAATATTGCTATGAAAGTACCATTTTTCCCAACAGCAAATGAACAGTAACAGTACCACTCTATTCTGCTTTGGTCAGATCTCTGAAAATACAGTGTCCAGTTTTGGGCAACACAATCGAAGAAGGATATTGATAAACTGGAATGTGTCCAGAGAAGAGCAACCAAAATGATAAGCCAAACGCTATGAGGATTGGCTTAGGGAGCCAGATATATTCAGCCTGGAGAAAAAAAAATTACAGTGGAGACATGATAGCCATGTTTAAATATCTGAAATTATATCATACTAAAGAGGAGTCAACCATATTTTCTGCTTCTCTTGGGACACAGACCAATGGATTCAAATTGCAGGAAAAAATAAATCACCTAAATATTAGATATAACTTCATGATGGTAACAGTTGTTTGGCCATGGAATATGTTACCTTTGAGTTTGGGAGAGTCTTCTTTTCTTGAAGTTATTAAACAGAGGTTGGATGGCCATCTGTTGAGAGGGCCTTGATTGGGTATTCCTGCATGGCAAGGTGTTGGACTGGATGTCCTTTATGGTCTCTTCCAACTCTTAGATGTACTGAAATGGGAATGCTTCAATGTTTCTAAGTACGGTTTCTAAGAATATATCACTCCTGTTGAATTGCTAAACCCAGAGCATGACATTTCCCTTTTAAGAGGAATGAAGTTAATGGCATGCTGAAGCCATCCATAACTCAGCAATGGCAGATTGAGGCTGTTTTTCTTCCTTATAAATCATTATGTAAAACATTTTTACTGATTAAAAGATTCATAAAATAAAACTGCTTCAGGTATGAAGGAAAAGGGTTTGTGTGATAACCTTAAAGTCAATATAAAAAAGGTATGGATATTTATTGTTGTGCTGAAATAAATTAATAAAACCTTTTCCTAGTCTGTCTGAAATAAATAAAACAAAAACAAACAAAAAAAACCCCACTTGGATTGACCCTAGAAATTGTGAATATAGCTAACTATGCATATACGGGGGGGGGGGGGGGGGGAGTATTTAATCAGATACCAATTGTACAAGTTCTCCCACTTAAAAAGATGACAGAGACCTGTAATTTACATCACAGGTAGACCACAACTATGAGAGACAACATGAGAAAACACATCCAGAAAATCACAGTGTCTGATTTTTAATATCTCTTCCAAATCATTCTCTCTCCTGGACAACAGGTATTTCCTTTTCACCTTGGAATTCCATTAGAGTTGCACATCTCATGATTTCAATAAAAAAAATGAATCCAAATGCTTGAATTTATTAAACAGGGAACAATATTGAAGATCAACTCTTAGATTATTGGTTTCCCTTTGAATCAACTATGCAGAAAAGCTATATAAACTCAGTTCCCAGGACAGTTTTCTGCTCATTAATACTTATTATTCTAAAAGAGGCTTCCATTCTTACCCTCTACAAAAATCTCTGCAGAAGTGGAATCTGTCCCATAGATGTTAGAAGCAAAGCAGGAGTAACGCCCTGTGTCTTCTTCAAAAGCCTCAACTATTGTCAGTGAATGCAAGTCTCCTGACTGGACGATTTGAATATCTGGTGAGTTTTCAAGTTCCTTTCCTTCACAGTACCACCTGAAAAGGAAAAGTATTGTTGGTCACCACAAGAATTGCCTCACAGATGAATCACCAGACAGAATGCAACAACTGAAAAACAGCTACACGAACAACCCAGGCAGAAACATTCACCAGGCAAATGAAACTGAGAGAAAAAGATGAGGCTTTGTTTTCAGTTGCAGATAGTAATGGGTTCTATTTGGTTATCTGAAAAACTGTGGAACAGATGATAAAGTCAGCATGGTGCAATGTTTAGAGCATTGGATTAGAACCACAGAGACACAAGTTTAGTTCACATTCGGCCATGAAGCCGAGTGGTTCACTTTAGTTTATAGCTCAGATAAAACTTCCATTCAGGGTTGTTGCGAGGATCAGATATTGGGATATCAAAGCTTTCTGGCAAAAGGAAAGGTTCAATTGTCCTAAATGTAGAAATAGATGCATATAGGTGAAAATATGTGCATTAGTTTCTCACACTTAAAAAAATGTTATTTTAATTTGTACTCAGGCCCGCTTTTTCTGCACATATAAATTAGATTGAGAAAATAGTTTAAAACTTTTAGTTAACCTATTAAAATTAAACTAACTTATAAAAGTTGATTTTATTAACTAGTTAAAGTGCACAATAATGAAGTTGCTCTTTTTAAAGGGCAACTACATATTCAGTTGTAGCATATATACTCATGAATAAGTCAATCTCATATATAAGTTGATGGCGGAGCCCCCGGTGGTGCAGTGGGTTCGAATCTGGGGAGAGGCAGATGAGCTCCCTCTATCAGCTCCAGCTCCTCGTGCAGGGACATGAGAGAAGCCTCCCACAAGGATGATAAAAACATCAAAAAAAAAATCATCCGGGCATCCCCTGGGCAATGTCCTTGCAGATGGCCAATTCTCTCACACAAGAAGTGACTTGCAGCTTCTCAAGTCACTCCTGACATGACAAAAAAAAGTTGATGGCAGATTTTGGGGTCAAAATTATGAATTTTGATATGACTCATGGATAAGTTGGGGGGTTTTTAAACTAAAACTTCTGGACGTATATATGAGTATATACGGTATACTCCTTTTGTCAGAATCCAGACGCCTTTAAAGAGCCAGACACAGAGATAAAGTCCAAACAAAGTTTATTAAGGCAACAAAAAGGACTCAGGGACACTTACTTCAGTGTCCCTGGCCAAAACAAAAGATTTCAAGCAGTTTGCATTACTCCAGTGCCTACATTTATCTTTACAACTCATTATCTGTTGATGAGCTGTCCTCCACCCTTTCCTCATCGCTATTAGCTGCTCTAGCCTCCACAGCTGATCGCCAATGCCCCTCTCGCCAGCTTTTCCATCTCTTATCAAGACTTAGGTCTCCCCATGTATCACCAGATTGCCAGTCCCCAGAAAACCCTTCAAAAGTATCGCTGGACGTAGGTTGTGTACACACATCTCTAACTTCTTGCACACGAGTCCAATCCAACCCATCCTCCTCCTCGTCACTACTCCCAGACCCATCACTCCCAGTGAAACCCATAAAATCTTCTTCTTCAGTTGGAGCAGTAAGTATATCACGGATTCGTTTCCTCTGACGCTCTTCATCAGACTCCTGCTCCCGAGTAATCCGTTTTACACCCCTGCTTTCATCTCCTTCCTCCTCCATTTCTCCTTCTGATAAACCCTCAAATGAGTCATCGTCTGTAGGAGACATGAGTATCTCCCTTACTCTCTTTCTTTGTTGCTCCTCATCCAAACTTTGAGCACCTCTCTTCTCTCCTCTACTATTCCTATCATCAGTGGTAACGTTACTAGGAGACTCAACTACAACACCTTTGGTTAGTGAATATTTCCAATTTAAGAACAAACCTACAGAACCTATCTTGTTCATAACTTGAGGACTGCCTGTATTTTCATTATCCAATCTTCTTGCATCAGTATATTTGGTTCTCTCTATCTCTGGGCATAGATGACTCTTGCTGCTATAATCACTTATAATAGTAATCATCCACATTTCTTTTCTAATTGGTCATCTAGCATCCTCAACAAATACTGTTTAAGTTTCATTGCAATTGAAACTTTACAATCCAGTACATATCTACTCCAAAGGAAGTTGCATTAATTTCATTGGAGTTTATTCCAAGGTAAGCTTACAGGGCAGGGAAATTTCTTAGTGGTCTTAGTGATAGTTGTATGTAAGAAAAGAATGAGCAGGAAAACCCAGCTATCCTTATCCATAGCAAATTGGAGCAACCCATATGTTCTCCAACTGGAAGATGACCTTCAAGAAAGAGTAGTCTAGGAACACATGAACTGTTCTGTAAGACTGAATTACAGCATTTTAAAAAAATATCCTCTGAAGGACTATGACCCACATAATTCCCAGGAAACATGGCTCCAAGTTCAGCTCAGCTCACTAGGGCCTTTTATATCAAAAATCACGGGCAGCTATGGGAAAGGAATTAGGGACTGCACAGTGGCAGAGAGTATGCCAGCCAGGAGCTCATTACATGGGTAGAGTTTAGCTTTTTCCACACCTCAATGCACACACAAATAAAACACAAACAACCTCTTCCCAATTAGTCATACATACACATGTACAAACCACAGAAATGCAGAGATAAATGGCTGCCATTGTTGTTGTCCTCCCCACTTTTCCTTTCTCTATCTCCCCCCTTCCCTCTCTCTTCCCCCCATAACCTCATCCTCCTCCATCATAGAATGCTAGGACTTATCCTAGCATTCTGTGATGGAGGAGGATGAGGTTATGAATCCTTAGAGGCTGCAACCTCTGTCCCTTGCAGGTTGTGCTCCTCCACTCACAACTACCCAGTTGATTGACAGTGGGAACTGTAAAAGAGTATACAGATGGGTTATATTCAGAGGCGGCCCTAGGTAATTTTCAACAGTAAGCAAACAGTATTTTGGTGCCCCCCAACCAGTCATTGATATATATTTTCTATTTGTCGTGAGAGTTCTGTGTGCCATATTTGGTTCAATTCCATCATTGGTGGAGTTCAGAATGCTCTTTGATTGTAGGTGAACTATACATCCCAGTAACTACACTTGCCGCACTTGCTCCCTTGCCTGGCCCGCTTTGGGTCCAGAGGCATGCCTGAAGACCCCGGCGTGTGCACCAAAAGTCACCTCTTCTCCTGACTTTCTCCTCAGCCATTGGGACCAAGAGAGAGAGAGAGAGAGGTGGAGATGCCCACCTTTCCTGAAAGTAGGCGCAAAAACAAAGGAGGGAGCGGAGGTGGGAGATACCTCCAGCCGGAGGGGCTCTCTCTCTCTCTCTCTGGTCCCAATGGCTGAAGAGAAAGTCAGGAGAAGAGGCGACTTTTGGTGCGCATACTGGGGTCTTCAGACACGCCTCCGGACCAAGCGGGCCAGGCGCGGCGCCTCTGCCCCTTGGCCCACCCGCAAATTGGGGAGAAGAGAGGAGGCGGGTGGAGCGCCGGGGGATCGGGAAAGGGAGCCGGTCATGGGGAAGAGATCGAACACAGAGAACGATTGAGCGCCGGCTCTGCTCGCGCACCCGGTGGCCGGGTGGAGCAGGAACGAGAGGGGCTAGGTGAGGCTCAAGGGCCCGGCCCCTTTGGGAAGAGGATCACCCAGCAGCGAGGCAAGAAAGCCGAGGCTCCCCCCGAGACTGCTAGGGCTGTTGTGAGCTGAGGGGGTGCTCCTCAAGTGGCAGTCGAGGGGCATTTACAGAGGCGCCTCTGCGTCCCTGGCAAAAAAAAGTGTTCTGCGACCGCTTACTTCGCGTAATGGATGAGCCGCCCCTGGTTATATTCCTCTAATCCACATGTGTCACATGCGAGGCCCGGGTTATAGAATCTTACAATGTTATTCTGTCCTTTGAAGGCAACCATAAGGCTGATGTGTTCCTTGGTGGAAATGAGTTTAACACTATTGATGTAAGATAATAGGAGATGTAATGGGATGATTTCATAATTGTATAATCTGTCTCTGGAAGGAAAAGGGAGCTGCAGAATGGAGAGGAAAGTATGGCTACAGGAACCACGTTCCTGTAGCCATACTTTCCTCTCCATTCTGCAGCTGCTTTTTCCTTCCAGAGGAAAA